ACTACTCCTAGGAAAGCATGTAAAGGTAGTGAAAGTGCATTACAGGAAAAATAAGTTGCTCCGTGGGAGGCTTTTGTTTGGTGCTGGACCCCTTGAAGGTGGTCTTGAGCTTAGTATTTATAGGAGAAGTCCTGGAGGGCCAATCGAGAGTGAAAAAAGATCTGCCTGATGGCTTGAAAATATATGCGTGGTGGTGTCTGATCGGGGCAAGTGGGTAGTCAAATCGGCATTTGGGATCGTGAAGCATGGTGGTGTGACCCCCATAAATCTAGGCAAATCTCGGCCATCGCCCTGATCATGGGCTCTGCACTCTTGGCCGTGGGAACGCATTTAATGCTCTGGTCCAGTGGTTGGTGATCTGACCTCAAGCTTTGAGAATGCATTGTGAGAATGTTTGCGCTCTGATTCCTGTTACCAAATCCTGACTTCAATCACTTCCCTTCTGCCCTCGTGCATTAAATGCTTCTTGCACCCAGTGGTTTTGCTGTGGCGGTCAGAGGCACTACTTCATTAAATGGGGCGTGGGACCCTGAGGCCACGTGGCGATTTGACCATAGTATCTTTGGCTGTGTCTCTCATGGACCTCGGCCTCGGCCCGTAATGCCGTGGTTGTGAGGCCGAGAAGATCCTACCTTCGTATTTTCTTCTGCTTTTGAAAAGGCTAAATGTTTGACGAAACGTGGCCGTTTCAGTCCATGAACGGGTGCCACGGCCGAGAAGAGGTCCCTTCTGACGACCGTGATTTATTTAGGTACAAACAGTATCTTGCTTTCAGAACTCGGGCCAGAAGGGAGCTGGGTTGATTAAATATTCTCCACACTTGTTTAGCTAGCAAAGCCAAATTGAAATCATACAGATTACGAAATCCTAGTCCCCCTTCACGTTTAGGTTTACACAAGCGCTTCCAACTTACCCAGTGGATCTTCTGCTTGTCTTCATTATCCCCCCACTAGTAATGGGCCAAAACCTGTTGTATTTCATCACACAAGGATCTAGGAATGAGGAAGCAACTCATCTGGTAAATGGGAATAGCTTGAGCCACCACCTTCAAAAGAATTTCCTTCCCTGCAAAACTGAGCAGTTTTTCTCTCCACCCTTGGACCTTCTTCCATACACGTTCTTTAAGAGGAGTGAAGCAAAGTTTGCGGGATCGACCGACGAAGGTGGGTATGCCAAGATATTTTTCATGTTTTTCCACCCTCTGAACGCCAAGAATTTGAGCCAACTCCAACTGGCGGGGCAGTTCCACTTTGTTGCTAAAAGAGACACAGCTCCTTTGGAGGTTGATTTGCTGTCCAGATGCCATCTTATAGGTCTAGAATATTTGACTAAGGTGCTGGCACTCATTCGGGTTTGCTCTTGTGAAAAGGAAGCTATCATCAGCGAAAAACAAGTGGGATACCGATGAAGCTCCCCTACTGTTCGCTACTCTATGGAGATGGCCCTGCTGCTCTGCATGCACGATCAAGCCAGATGCATGCACGATCAAGCCGAAAAAGACCTCTGCACAAAGTAAAAATAAATAGGGGGATAACGGGTCTCCCTGTCGGAGGCCACGCTATGGGGAGATAAAGCCAACAGGTGATCCATTAATAAGAAAAGAATATGTCACAGTAGTAACACATGCCATAATAAGTTGAATCCACCTCAGATCAAACCCCATACGGTGCATAATAGTTTTAAGAAAGCCCCACTCCACCCTGTCATACGCCTTGCTCATGTCCAACTTCAAAGCTTGGAAACCCAATTTACCGTGAGTGCGGTTATGCATATGATGTAGTACCTCAAAAACGACAATCGAGTTATTAGAAATCATATGACCCAGAACAAAAGCACTCTGGTGGGTACTGATCACCTCATTCAAAATCAACTTTAGACAGTTGGCCAACACCTTGGCCCCAATCTTATAAATCACATTACACAGGCTGATAGGACGGAGCTGGGTCATATGTTTTGGGTCTTTCACTTTCGAAATCAAGCCAACATGTGTAAAATTGAGCTTAGCCAAAAAATTACCAGTCCTTAAGAAATCTAAAACAGCAGCAGTCACCGCATCCCCCACAACTTCCCAATATTTCTGGAAAATGAACGGGGACATCCCATTCGGACCCGGCCCCTTGGAGGGATGCATCTGAAAAACTGCCCTTTTTATTTCCTTAGCCGTAAAATCGCACAGCAAAGTTTGGTTCATCTCGGGAGACACCCGATTAGCCACTAAGTCACCAAGGGAGCTGAAGTCATTGTTGCCAGAAGAGTGGAAAAGTGATTGAAAGTAGTTAATCACAGTAGTTTCCAAACCTTTCTCAGAGACCTGCCAACGACTGTCACAATCAAGTAGCCCATAGAGTGTATTCTTTTTGCGTCGGCAGGAAGCTTTGTGATGAAATTTTTTTGGAATTACGGTCCCCATTGGATAGCCAGATGGCACGCGAGCATTGGCGCCAAAAGAGTTCATCCTTTGTTAATCACAGTAGTTTCCAAACCTTTCTCAGAGACCTGCCAATGACTGTCACAATCAAATAGCCCATAGAGTGTATTCTTTTTGCGTCGGCAGGAAGCGTTGTGATGAAATTTTTTTGGAATTACGGTCCCCATTGGATAGCCAGATGGCGCGCGAGCATTGGTGCCAAAAGAGTTCATCCTTTACCAAAAGGGAATCCAGGCGTGCCATCAATCGTTTTCGGTCCTCCATGATTTGTGGGGAGCATGGGCTATCTAGAAACACACCCAGTTGTGCTCTAGTTTTCTGTATTTCGCTCGGAATACTACCAAACTGCTCATGGCTTCATGGGAGAAGTTTTAATCGAGTGGATTTAATTTTCTCAAAGACTACTTCTGGAGCGTTTAGGCCAGAGCCACTTGACCATCCTTCCTTAACTACGCTAACACAATCTGCATGTTTTGACCAACCTCCTGAAGGACAGAGCACGCACTTCAACCTCCTCAGTCCATAACATACATAAACCAGCAGAGGATCCAACACTGTCTACCACTTCCCTTTGACGAAAGCCCAACTTTGTTCTAATCTTTTCCATAGCTTCCAGAGAGCTACGAGTTTCACACAAAAACACAATCTTGGGATCTTCACGGCAAATTAATCCTCGCAGTGCTTCAACTGTTCAAGGGTTCCCAAGCCCTTAGCAATTCCAACTTAGGAGATTCATGGCGCCCGGCGAGGTTGGTCCTCGCCAATCGCCGCTGATCCAACCATATTACGTGAGGATGTAGAAGAGAGACATGGGCGCTTCCCAACTTGCGTGCACTCCATACGTGACACCATACTTAAACTGCGTTTCCCACTCGAGTTCACTGGTTCTCCTTGTCATGAGCCATTCCTGATAACTACTTAGAACATGCATTTTAAGTTCAATTTTTGTTGTCTTGGCATTTCCCTTTTTTAAGAATTTATTTCAACGAAGGCATTCAAGTTATATTGCTCAGTTATTTAGAGTTCACAGCAAGACATTCCATTTGTGTTCATTAAATGTCAAACTGCATAATATATGTAAGATTCATGGTTTTAAAAAAATGGGACAAGGTTTTGCAATCATTAAGGATCTTACTGTTATTGGAATAGCTTCAAGAGATCAAGGTTCCAAAAAGGAGTCACATACATTTGGAAAGGTGTTCTCCCATGATCCTACGGCTGTGTCTACAATTTTTGTTGGCTTGGCATTTCCCTTTTTCCTAATCATGCCTACCAAATGATTGTTTTGATATGAAGATTAAGGGTGCAATAAATTATTTCTTTTTATACCACTGAAGTTGGGATTTTTGAAGAAAAATAACTATATCTTCGTTTTGTAGTTTCAACCATTTTGGATTTCTAACTGTCTTTATGAAGAAGTTGATTCTTTCTTATATTCATGTCACAAATCAGTGGCATGCTCCTCGAGTTTTTTTTTTCATTATTATTTTACGTGCTTATTCTCCTTCAATATTTAACCTCAAAATAGTTAAACTGCCATTTGAAATTTTATTAATTGAGTTGTGTGTCTTCTGGATATTGTTAGCAAAGTAAAACAAATTAACAAATTTCCTTTTCTCTCCATCTCTGCTTTCGCTTACCTAAATTGCATTTGTTTTTTTGGCATCCGCATATTGTTTCACTTTAGTTTATGATTTTTTAAAGCATGAAGATGATGAACATGACTTCCAAGACACCTTGCACTTCCTTTTTTTTTTTTCTTAGGTAACGTGAGGCTATGTAATTATGTGGTTGTTGTACTTCATTCTAATTACTGTTTATTTCTTTTTTCAGTATGAATCACAGTTAGGCAGTCATGCAATTCTTCAGGTATGACTTATGAAAATTAAAAAGTTATTCAAATCTACATGTCTTATTGAAACTTTGGAATTTTATCTCAACAGATTCAATCGTCTCGCACCTCTCTGACCTATAAGCAATCACTTAAGCAAAGAAGCGAAGATAACTTTATGGTTAATGTTTCTTCATTTTGATTTATCGACATTTTTTTTCTTTTGTGTTGGCTCAAAATTCCTTTACAAAATTCGACTTGGCTCTACCACGTGTATTCTGCTCTCTTTCCTTCTGTTTTTCACCCTGATTTAATCTCTGGCTCCTATGAAATTTTGATTGTTTCAGGAGAGCTTAGGTACAAAATCCAAATAAGAGAAGTAGTCGTCCGCCCAAATTGTTTAACCATTCTTCGCTTTAAACGTATAATTCATGATTGCCTCTCTATTCCTTATACCCTTACTATTTTTTTTTAATGATTTCTTTATTTTTTTAAAGTTTTTTCGCTCATCATTTCTGTATTTTCATGTTTGTATATTTCTTTTCTTCCACAACTTTATACACATTTTACGTAATTTCATAACCCGCAGCACCGCACGGGTCCTTTTGCTAGTTTAATCTAATTTCAACCCAGTGTAGAAAAAGATTGATTGATTGTAAACTTAGTACATGTACATTACTTAACTGGTCAATCTATGATGACCATATTAGCTACACTAATTGCAGTAGAAGTGTTCTCCATTCACATTCCCATAAACTGTGCTGTGGAAGATTGCGGCGGAACATCATCACAGTTGATCAAGTGGTAGAGTGAATCATAATCAGTGAAGTTGAGGACTTGGTCTTCTTCACTACCAAATGGAACACTCCCACCAATTCCAGTAGCCTCGGACAAGCTAGTCAATTGTTGCGGCCTTTGCCTCGTATTTTGAGATTGTACTGGATTGTTAGTTTCATTATCCTCTTCTGCAGTTCTCAACTTTTTCTTCCCCCTGCCATTCTTTCGAATCCGGCACAACACAAACCGATTGGTTGAGTTTGGTTTAGGCTTCACCAATGAAGAGTGAAGGCTGTACTCGTGCATTATCCAGCAACCGTCTTGAACAGATTTAGGGTTTTCATAATGAAACCTTTTCCATATACCTAAATTGTTCTTCTTATTCTTCGGATCACTGACTGTGGTCCCTGAGTTCTCACCTTTCCATGTCCCGGACCCTATCGTACGTGCCACGCGGGAGTCCTTGTCACTCAGGCTCTTCAGTTTGGTGAAGAAATAAAGGTCTTCACCTTTGGCTAAGTTGTGTCCACCATATTCATGCCATATATCCCATGGCTCTATCTTACCATAAAGATCCATTTCTGGAATGACATTGTCATACTGAAAGGGTTTGCCACTATCCTTGTTAAGAAGATAATATCCCAATAACTGATCATCTCTTGGACAAAATATAAAACCGACCGGAAGATTAACAACAGACTCGCAAGGTGCCATATATAAGCTATGTAGCAGGTTCCTCTTCGACTTTTGTTGAGAAGAGAAGATTAAAGATGATCTTGGTGTCTTGGAATGGAAAGAAAATGAGTATGTAGGCTCGTTGGAAGAGAGAGGGTGTTGGTGTTGGATTCTTTAATATGGAGGAGGCGATTCTGTAATGAGTTTCTTGGGGTTTTGTGAGAGTCTTCTTGCTTCCCTTCCTATATATAGGAGTATCAGGGCCTCCGACAAACAATCTTCTAATTCTAATCCTTGTGGGAGATGGAGGCTGCCATATTTTCTAGAAGAAAAAACTTTGATGCTCAAGTTAGTAGGTTTTTAAAAAAAAAGTTTTTAAGAAAAACTTCGTAGGCATAAATTTCTATTGTGGTTTTTCTTAAAAACCTACTAACTTGAGCATCAAAGTTTTTTCTTCTAGAAAATATGGCGGCCTCCATCTCCCACATGGATTAGAATTTGACTTGGAGGGCGGTTTGTGTATTTTAATCCCCTCTTTATTTTTGCATACAAAGGCGGGTCTTTTTCGATCCGTCCGTACGCCTACTCCTCAATTAGACCTGGCAAACGGGTTGGGTTTGCGGGTTTCGGGTCGTGTTTGTGTTAACCCGTTAAGTTAACCGGTTGACACGACACGACCCGTTAAGCTAACGGGTGGGAAATACTAAATCCGAACACGACCCGTTCAAATTCGCTAATAACACGACATGACCCGTTTCACCCGTTAAGAATAAAAAATAACAAAAAAAAATGAAAAAAGATGAAAAAATCAGACAAAACCACCCCAAAACTCTCTTCCTCCTTTTTGGTCGAGAAAGATGAAACTTCATTATTGGAAAGCTCCAACACAGGAAAAGGATGCAAACTAACAAAAACAACAAGCATTCATGCGAGACAGGGAAACAACATGAAAACAACACCACAAATAAAACAAACATCATCCAAATTATACATTATATTTAGTAATTGAAGTAAAAGTGATTCATTGAGTGGGCTGAGCTGAGGCCGCATCACCATCCGAACCAGCATACCTTGAGGTGCCCAAGGTGTGACTCTGTCAACACCAAGTTCTACAAATCTTGATGCGATACTGGACCAAAGGTGACGTCCCCATCAGATTTGGCTGCTGCAAAATCAGACTCTCCAACCCAAAATCTTCTGCTTCGTCATCGTCGGAGGTGGCTACTGATCTCACAAAGGCATATCTTATTATTATTTTTTTTATACCAGAACAAAGCCAGCTCCCATTCGACTCGGATTTTTGTGAAACAAGGGATATTTGTGCGTGAGTGAAGCAGCGACAGAGACGAGAAAAGAGAGAGACGAAGACTATGCGCTAGGGATTTTAGGGATTTAGAATGTAAATTACAAAATTGCCCTTCCTCTTAACCGGTTAACGGGTTATTCGCAAATGATACTGACACGACCAGTTAAGCAAACGGGTCCACCCGTTTTCAACCCGACCCATTAAGCTCGACCCAAATACTGATTTTTTCGTGCGAATTCGTGTCGTGTTAACGGGTCGTGTAAGATATTGCCAGGTCTATCCTCAATCTCTCTCGTAATATTTTCTTTTCGTTCTCAATTATTGTTCAAATTACGAAACACCAAACAAAACCAGGACCACGAAACCCACACCACAGCCCCACGGAACATCCTCAACCACAACCCTCTTCTTCTTCTCCAAACCCCTTCTCATCATTTATATAACCAGCCCTCATCTCCTCACCACACCCTCACAACCACAAACCACACCCACTTGCCCCCTCCCAAGAACTTCTTCTTCAAGTTTTCATCTGGGTTTTTTGATTGAACCCAACAATCAGGCCATCTTGTTGCAGAAAGAGGAAGGCGAGGAAGGCGAAGAAGGTGTTTGATAAGTTCTTCTCTTCGGGGGTAAAACCCAGGTTCGACGAGTTGTTGACATCACGGCTATACACGGAGTTCCTCGGCCGCTAATTCATGTCCGGGCTGTCCAACGAAAGGGTTGTGTAGTTGAGAGCAACCCTTCGCCGCACGGCGGGCGTGGTGCTTTGCCTTCCGAAGGCGGTAGCCCCTCCGACCTTCTCTTTCTTGCTGGTGGTGGTTCTGCCTCCTCTCTTTTTTCCTTCTGCGTTTATTAGCTCTAGTTTCTGTTTTGATTTTTAGAGATTTTTCCTCTTCTTCTTCTGTAAAGCACGAGTAGATCGTATTGTTGTTGTTGTGGGGGGTTTAAGGTTGGTGGTGTTTGATTTTTACTGAGAAACGAAGAACAAAACGAAAAAGGAAAAAAAAATGAGAGAGAGTAATGATGTTGAGGATCAAGAGGGTTCCTACTGTAGTTTCGAATTACCAGTAAGATGAGGCGGAAGAGGGTGCTCGCCGCGTTGGGGGTTGTGGCCGCAACTGTCTTAATCAATGTTGCATTCCAGGTATTTGTTGGAACACCCTCTATTTAGACTTAGAATTAGAATTTGTTTTGTATGTCTTTGCAAGGCTCCTTAAATATATTGTCAAGAAAATGGGTCAAATTTTGAATTTTTTTTTTGGGTGGGTTTAATTGGTTTTTGGCATTATTCTTATCTGGGATTATGTTCCTCTATTTGGGTTTTGTACCAATTTGGGTTTGTGTAGGGGCAAAGCTTCCGTTGTATGCTTTCAAGAAGCTGAACAAGATTGATGGTGATAAGGAGTTGCCCGGAAGTGAGAAAAGAGAGCCTCCCGTTGACTTTCTTGACTCACTGCTTCTTGGGGAGGTAAAATTATTGTTGGGAGATTAAGAAAGAATGTCCAGCTTTGTCTGTTCCCTCTTGTATCTAACCATTATTATGAATTAAAATTGTTTGCTACGTCTTATCAGTGGGAAGATGGCATGCAGAGAGGGCTGTTTCGTTATGACATCACTGCCTGTGAAACCAAGGTATTCTGGGTTCCTCTACCATTTCCTCATATATGTTGTTTGTAAATTGGGATTCAAGCTGCAGACAATTTGCATATGCTTATTTGAGATATGGATTGATATTCCGGTGTAGGTGATCCCGGGGCAGTTTGGTTTCATAGCCCAGCTGAATGAGGGTCGCCACTTGAAGAAGAGACCAACTGAGTTCCGAGTTGATAAGGTCCTCCAGCCCTTTGATGGCAACAAGTTTAACTTCACCAAAGTTGGGCAAGAGAAGGTCCTCTTCCAGTTTGAAGCAAGCGAAGATGGTGAAGTTCAGTTTATCCCTAGTGCGCCCATTGAGCCTGAAAATTCGCCCAGTGTTGTTGCCATCAATGTACGCTCTTTGTTCTTGTACATTAGTTGTTCTTAACAGGTTATTTGAACAAAAAAGTTATATCATTTACCATCCACCATTCAACTGACGATCCGTCCAAGACTCAGTTCATCAATCGAGACGATACTGTTGTTGCTCCTGCTAAAGAAGCAAACTTTGTGAAGCTGCTAGTACAAAGTAAAAGAGGACAAAGAAGGAAGAATAATAATCTAATGCAAAATTCAGCTGTGGGTTGAAGCTTGTCGGAAAGCCTCTGTAGTTGTGTACTGCACGAGTATATATTAGGGGTGGGCATCGGGACTGGAAAACCGGAACGCTGAACCGAATCGAAGAGTGGGTTATGAAGGATTACTGATTGAAGAGAAAAATAGGAATGGAGGAGTGTGTGGATGATGATGGAGGAGTGACTAAAGTGAAGAAAGAGAGAGATGAATGGATGAGAGAGACGGGATGCGGAAGAGAGAGGAGAAAATGGGTCCAGAATATTTTTTTAATATGTAAAATTGGAAGTAAAATTAGTTGCCAGCTGTTGATATTTTATTGGCTTGGGATACTTACATAGTTTGCTGACGTTGGCATACCTGTGGCATGAAAGTTTTTCTCCATAGGCAGACCAATCAACGAAGATTTGAATGCGCCTGTTGGTGGGACATGAAACAGATGACTTGTCTACTGTGCGCTCTCTTTCTAAGGTGCCATATATAAGCTTAGGGGTGGTTGCGGTTCGGTAACCGCGAATTTTTACTCAAACCGCAAACCGACCGACTATTTGCGGTTTGGTGATTTTTGAAACCGCAAACCGACCGCGTTTTGCGGTTTACCGCATTGCGATAAACTGCAAAATGCGGTCGGTTACCGCGAATTAGCGGTTTAAAACCGCAAGTTCTCAAGCATTCACAAAAATATAAATTCACAACCTAAATAAATAAATACACAACCTCAATTTCTCAAGCATATATAAATTCACAATCTCCTCAACTTTTCAAGCATTCACAACCTAAGAAAATTAAAATTAAAATTCCAAGCATTCCAATTAAAGTTAAACTTCTCAAGCATT